AGTTCCGGCATCTGAAAAATAACTTGAAGTGCTGCAGCATTTTTCCCAAAGGTTGAACTTCTTTCTAAAACCTGTTGGTTATAATTATTTCCACCTGCCACCAGAACACAAACCTGAAGACCTACTCCCTCCACTCCCATCTTTTCACTCTTGGCAAACACTTTGCTGCCTAGGGACCTCATTCGTGAGTCATCATCGGTTTTGTATTAACCAATACTCCATCTGGCTGCTCACAGAGGAGAATAATTTTAAAGAATTAATTTTCCACACAGCCATTTTGTCTTCAGTTTCCTTTCTTGACATCCAAAGGAAGCAGCCCCAGTACACGATCAGCCATGGAAGTTATTACAGATGAAAACTGTGAAGATGGAAATGAGTGAAAGGACAGATACTAGGCTGTCTACCACGTTCAGCTTTGGCAGAAGTTCAGATAAAACTGTGGATTTTGAGTGGTTATCTTTGCTAACAAGTCTCCTAAAGAGCCAGGAGTGCGGGTCTGCTGGAGGAAACGCAGGACAGAATCAGACTGCCTGTCTGCTGCTGGTTGATTGGGCTGGAAACATCGACCTGAGAAAAAGGATTACCTATTTCAAAGGGCATCCCTCAAGTTTCTAAAGGAGTATTTAAATTTTTAGATGAATGTTGCTAGTTAGCACTAACAATGTTACCTTGACCATCAGAGGACAACATAATGAAACAAGAGCAGGTCAGTCAATAGCTCTTTGCTAGCTCATTTTTCTTATTTTCTGAGTGTGATTCTGACTGACAAAGATGATCTCCATAAATTACTCCAAATTGGCACCTGTGTAAAGGACCAGTCCCAGTCAGATCACTCCATTTACTCCCTGGAGTCTGTAGCCGCCCTTCCCCAGGTGCTATTTGTATTATGATAGAAATTTCATTCAAGTTCCAGACCAAAATCTCTATTGATTGTGTCTCATTTGACCAAGTCTTCACAATACAGGCTTTTATGGAAAATACAGCTATACAACCTTTTTCTTAAATAGTGCCAAAAGAGAAAACACAAGTAGTTTCACTGGGTTTCTTTTAAGTTCCTTTGTTATACATGGTTGCTCATAATTGAAAATGTAGCTGTGTCTGCATTCCTGGCTCCATCAATAAGCCACACTATTTTCTTAGTATTCTGAAGCACCACCCAAGCTTCTGCTAATAATTTTGCTTGACCTTTATTAAAGACTAAGCATTAGCTAGCAATTAGATTTGGTTATCCCTTTGGTGATTGAGGCCCAGTGATTTACTGTAAATTATAAATAGTCCAAATGTTTAATTATGTTTATTCTTTATACAAGCTTTGTGGCCAGGTAAGCACTGACATGACATTCACTCTTAAATGATCTCATTAAACTTCTTAAATTAAGTGGTGCAACACTTCACCTGCCACATTATCCGAGGACTCCTGCAATGCACATTAAACATTCAGCATCAATAGATGCTCTACCATAGTTCACCTTGTTGGGAGTGAAATTTCAGTCCCTGAACATAAGGCTGACTACCTGATGCTGTTTGTCAGAGACAATAAATAATGCAAATAGATACCCATGTAAAGTAAGAGGTTAAAGACATCAATAGCTTTCCCACAGAGTTTTGAAAGAAGCTCTCACAAGAAAAGACTTTAAATCATGAAAAAAATGCCACAAAAATTAAAAAAGTTAAGAAAAAGGAAGGAAGGTGCTTGTTTCTTTAATTTCTTTATGAATGCAATGACTGTGAGAGATGATTTCTTGAGAATCCTGAAGGCACGTGCCCCTTTTTTATTCACAGCCCCAGGGCAAAAGGGCAGCAGTCACACAACCTCCCACCAGTCCCTTGTAGAGTCCCTTGTAGGGGTTTGTCTTCAGCCATTTCATCCCTGGTTTTCCTGCTGGGAATGTTTAATGGAGCTGAACAGAGTCAAGGTTGGATAATGCACCAGATCATTTCACTTAGGCCAATAAATAGCATATTGCCTCATGGCTAAAGGGAAACACAGTATTTTTGTTGGAGGTGTCTTTATGTCCAGACTCTGTTTCCCAGTGATTTCTACTGCAGTTAACAACTAGAAGCACACGGATTACAACCTCCTTTGTGCTAGGTGCTAGACCAAGAGTCCACTTCACAAACTAAACATTAAGGCAGGAGGAAAAATAATAGAGGTATCTGAATCTTCCTGGCTTGCATATGTTTTATTTTACACATTTTTAATAGTTTTCCTCCCAAAATGAATGGTTCTAATATTTCCCCCCCGTCTTTATACAGTATGATCCTTGACATCTGCTTCTGGACATCTCTTCTGAAGGACAAAGTGCTTCTAGCAATTGTAATGTAGCCTGTGAACATACAGACTGCTTCCTGGACAGATTTAGGTTTCATCATATAGTATTAACTCCACATACTGAATGTGTTTTTCTGACTTATAAGGCTGGATTAGCTTTTATTATCAGAAGAGAAGTAGTAAAGGTTTCAGTGTTACAGATGGAATGGCAGATGGGAAGCGAAAGCTTAATGTGAAGCAGCTCTGGATAAAAACTATTAATCCACAAAATTCATATGTTCTTATGCAGGGAAACCTAGCAAAACCCATTGCAATATGACTAACCAGTGAGAGAAGTGTAAACTGCCCCTAGCCCACTGTCTGACAAATCACAGCATGAGGTCTGGAAGAAGGAAAAAACTGCCTCAAACACCCCATTTACTATTTCCTGGAAAAACAATCAGCTCTTTATGGGGTATGCAGAGAGGTAATGCCTTCCTAAAGATTATAAAGAATATTAATTTATAGCATCTCCACTATGAAAATGAAATGGACTCATATATATATTTGATGAGATAACATTTTCCAGGGTTTATAGCTGTAATATTCCATATTCAGAAAAATTTAACAGTACCTATAAGTCACTGTCATTAAAGTTGTAGCACTGAAAAAGGCTTCTTATTTTTTGTTGAAGCGCATGATGTGGAGAGGAAGCACATTTCCATCAGTTCTGGTAACAGAATACTTCGACGGAAAGGGAAGTGAGCACTTCAGACGCCTGCCCGGCTGCCGAGAGCCCACCATACAGCTCTGAGAGCGGCCACAGTGGAGAAGCACGACCTTCAAAAATTCCACCCATGAAGAAATGAGTGCCTGGAATTTTTCCAGCTGAATGACACTTGTTTAGAATTTGAATGACTGCAAGATACCACAGCATTATTACAAAGAACCCATTAACACTGAACTGACTACAGTCTACACAACAAATCCTGTGATTGTTTATGCCTATAAGTGACTGATCTCACTTGGCCTTGTGGTTTAACTTGTTCCATGGGGAACTAAGAGCAGTTGAGACCACCACAGGTAACGGTCTCAGTATTACACGGTGTTTAGGGTGGACTCAACACCACAGAAAGATAACTGGATACATCTGCTGGAACTAGTCTGTAATTATACTAGACCTTCAGCAATTATTCTCCTATAATTTACCTTAATTGATTCAAAGTGTCATCACCTACCTCTGCCTTTATGGTCTTAGTCTACGTTTTATCATCAGTGCAGCGTTCCTCACTGGGAAAGTGAACGATAGGGAATAACAAGCCAGCTTTTCTCAAAATTCAAGAGACACACAGAGAACTACATACTCTCCCGTACAAGCGAGGATAATATGTCAAAATCGTTAGGTCTCTTCCTGGGGGACACCAAAAGTGTTTAAATTGGATGCAATGTGAAATATTGTGATTTCTTAATTCAAATCCTCATGTTCCAGTATCAAGGCAATCTCTATGACTCTTGTGCTCTTCCTTGATTTTTCTCCCCAAAATGTGTTGCATTTCACTGACAGTGCTTAGAAATTGGCTCCAGCAACAAAGCCTTTTGTCGGTTCTCACAAAATCATTCTTAAGGTAGACATTCACAGTTTTTTTTTCATTTTTCACTTCAGTAGGGATTTCTGTCTGAGTAGCATCTTTAGGAAGGGACCTAAACTTTGAGAAAGGTAGTGAAAGCATCTAATATATTTATTTTCTATGAGTATTAAAAGCATGTTATGTCATCGCTCATCAGAAAACCACCCAAGAAAGTTATTTCCCCTTTCTCAATTTATTTCAACATATAGGGAAACAGAAGTCACAAGGAGAATTTCCTCTTTTCCTCTTCTTGATAATTCTTATTGCCTAAACCCAACAGTTTAAGGACACTTGAGTTTTTGGGAAGATCGGGTCTTTTACTGGTGGGTTTCTTGTTTTTTGAGTTTTTTTTTAATGGACTATCTACTTTTACACAATGTAGTAAGCTTTAACAGAATGCAGCTGCAGAGTCTGGATTATGTAAATCCAGAAAGAATATCATTTCACTTAAAATCACAAGTCTTGTCATGTGGTGGTATGTGAAGTTCTTTGCCTGACGCCATCTGCATAAAGACTGAATAAAGATACTCAGGCAACGGTTGGTGCTGAAGATATAATTGACTCCTAGCAACATATTTGTCACTTCTACAATCATTATCCTCCACAGAAAAAGTACTAAAAAAAGTAAGAGGAGAACATTACCTTCACTGAATCTATACTCATACCTTCAACACTTTCTGAGACATCAAATCAAACTGTTGATCAGAGAGAGCCCTGAGAGGGAAGAATCTCTCCATGCCTGGGGTTCATTTGCTGAGCTTCAGTACTTCCTGCTACTTTAACTCGCCCTCTCTTGCTGATGCCCCTTGCTGGAAATAATGACTAAACAGAGCAGCCCCTGCTTCCTCAGTAAAAGCGAAGAACCAGTGCTGCTAGCCTGCTCGCAGCCACAGTCCCTACTAGTGAGCGGCAGACACACAGGGTACAGAATGGCGACTGTCTCCTTGGCTAGAGTGTGGCTGTCAGACACCAGCCTGACCAAGAGGAGTCTTCTGCTTTAAGACAGAAGAAACTGCCCCTCAGACCTCTGCTTCTTGCAGCGCAGCACTGACATGTCATCCCTTATATCCTTCAATACATACTTCCTTTAGGAACAAAACGTGCATTCTTAAAATACTCACTGCACCTGATTGGGTAGTCAGCAGCACTGAGGTTAATGAAGAAATCCCATGGCCAGTCATTCATCTCCATCAAATCCCTCATGGTCTGCAGGTAGGTGGACAGAAGACTTGCTCCTCCCCAGATAGTTGCCATTCTCCAAGAAGTGACTCTCACATTTGGGTACTGGTTGGCAAACTGGAGCACTTGCCGGTGCAAGTAATTGGATCGCTTTACAGGAGAAAAAAGTGACACATTCAAGTTACTCTGTCCAAAATTGTCCCTCCCTGTATTCACCAATCACCAACTTTACTTCTTGACTCATTGAGCGTTGCCATTGATTTGCCCTCACTCATTATGGCACACAACCATCTTTTGCTACATGCTAATTTGGAAATGTAGACACACCTCTGTTTAATTCTTTTTATTACAACTACAGTAATCACTTATCAGCAAAACTAGCTCTTATTTATCATTTGTCATCAGCAGATCCCAAAGGGCTTTCGTAAAGGAGGTGGCTGTTACTACCTCCTTCTTACAGTGTGAAGGAAAGTAACTTGCCCAAGGCCTCTCAGGTCAGCTCTCCATCCAGTGGGCTGCCACTGTCAGTCTGCATCAACTCAGCAATTACTGTTAACTAAATGTACAAGAGACAGACACAGATAGATACTCGTAGACATACAAGGAGAAATGAAGGCTGTTACGCAAAGGAGATAACGAGAAAGAAAAATAAAAAGAGGCTCCAAACGTGTAACAGATGGAGAGACAAAAAGTGACATGCACTCTATGTGGCAGAGGTAAAGAGAAGGTGAAGAAGATGATAAAGATGGGTAGACTGACAGATGGGGAGACAGGCAATTTATAACCAGTGATATATTACCTTGTCAACATGAATGTAATAAAAATGGTCTTTATGGTAAATAGCCTTAAACATGCGTTGGAGCTGCCGAGAAGCTCTGCCATGAACAACCAAGACAAATGCGATCCTGACTGGGTTGGCTGGCATGTATTCTACGGAGTCCTCATCCCACTGTACATTGTTGTTGGCTTTTCCTGTTTGAAAACAAAACACAGGACATCTCTGAGTGTATCCATAGGGCAGCGATGCAGAGAGCAGTACACATTTCACCTCGGCTCTTTCTAAGGGAAAGTGAGAACTCACGAGGGGTGCCAGCCTGCGTGCCATCCAGATCGCACCCCTCTCCTCCATCACTGTACAGGGTCATCACCCCATGATGATAATCCCCATGATCCTTCCCCATGTAGCCCTGTCTGTGTGCCTCAACCTGGACATGGCTGCATGAACACAGATAAGCAACCAAATGTTTATAAGTCAGACCAAGCTCTACCTGGGTACACACATTTGCATCTTCAAAGGAATCACCTCAAAATTTCTAAGCACTGTTCAAAGTATTTAAAAATGCCAAGGCCAACTTCCCCCCTGCTCTCCCAGAAATGACACCCCTCATTTAGTAAAAGATGCTCGTTCCTGTGATCAGCACAGCTCTGCTGAGAAGCTGGTGAAACTCTGGTGCTTTACAGCTGCTGGGGATTATGTCGACTGATAGCATTTATTTGTAATAGCAGATGTATCCTGGAACATTTAAATGGCAACCTTCATATCTTCACCTCTTCATGTAGGAGAGGGGCTCTTATAATCCTATTTATAAAATTTATGTTCCTTTTTATTTTAACAGAGGAATTTCTGGTCTCCATTTTTTAAAGCAAACACCAGTACAAGGTTAAGACAGGATATACTGATTAAGAAAAGAGCTAGAGGGACATTTTTACTCAGAAATTTAAAGTGCTTTGTTTTGGATTTGTGTAACAGCTCTTCAACTCAAAAATCTGAACACAATGTAAGAAAAATGCAATTTTATCACAAAACTGACATTCATTCTTCAGTTAAACAACCTCTTGAGTGCTCTGACCTTGTAAAGACTTTTCTCAACAAAAGTTAATTATGTTAAAAATTTCAAGTTCATCCTAAACAGAAGAAGGAAGTGCCTCAAAGCTCAAAAAACTCCTGCCCCTATTTTGCTCTCGCATATTTTAACTTTTTTCTTTTGTAAATGAAAGGCAGCATCATTGCCCAAAAAGTTACTTAGTCCCTTCCCTCTCCCCCCTCCCCCAGGTACATTTTTTCAAAGTCCTAAGATCTGAGTTGTTTTTTTTCCTCTAAAAGGTAAATGCATTTAACAATCTCAAAAAATCTGAACTTCTGATTGTACTAAAAATACATATTTAATTACTGGAAATGCATGTCAACATGGGCAGGACTCAAATGTTCATTTCCCACTACAAGTAAAGGTTTGGAAATGGCCATGCCTACAAAGTCCCAGAGGCTCATTGCCCCATGTAAAAGACCCTTATCTCCCTGCAGCTCCTCAAGAAACATCTATCTGCAGTCGTACTGGGCATAATTTAATGCAACTTTATTGCCCCAAATTGTATTCAGACTACCCATCAGGAAATTTCTAGCCCCATGAGTCACTCTTAACTTTAAATGGGTCATCAACAACTTAAATGGTATTTCTTTAAAAAAACTCCACCATTAATTCAATCAGACTTGGATGAACAGCATTAAAATATGAGGAAAAAGCTTAAATTTAATTTCTTCTATCATTTTCAGTTTGTTTATTGTGGCCATTTGCCTATGCTCAGTTCTACTGTTTCTCCTGCACAGCCGACGAGTTTCCCAATGCGTGTGCTCAGGCCTCCTGCACAGCGACAGGGACAGAAAAGGACCATGAAAGAAAGAAAACGTGTGCAAGGAGAACTGACAGGGGAATAAAGGGCAATTGCAACTGCTAAAACAACCATTTTTCTTTTAAATTGCCTTGATTTCAAGCTGATGATGTCCCATCAACGGACTCAAATACTTTTAGTGGTTTTCATTACATTTTTGGATACCTTTCCTCTGAAATTAGTGGCTTTCTACAATGATGTGTAGAAGGTGAGGGGAATTTAAAATAGCCACGTTGTGGATCTTTTATTTTAAACTAACTTGCTTTCAATACCCACACTATCATTTATCTAGCAATTACTGAGAACAAAATCCTCCCAAATTTTCATCTGAAATGCCACCTCACTTCATCAGGTTTGTCTAATAAATTCCTGTAGTGAGTTATTTTCCTCTCTCCTATTTTCCTACCCTAACCTTTTTTTCCACATGTTCCTTCCTCACTTCTCTTTTAGGTTCAGGTTTTTATAGTCCCTTTTTCCACCTGCATACTATTATGACTTCTTTAATCTAATCCTATTCTTGGCTGCTCAGAATTTCATGAAGGTAAGAATGTTGTATTTTTTTCCATATGTCAGAATATCTGCTACTTCCACTCTATACTGCTACTTCCCTGGTTTTAGTCCGTGGCTGATTAGCACCCTCTATTTCGCAGACTACTCCACTGATAAAGAACCAGCTTGGTTTGCAAATAGGATAAAATTGGCAGGAAACATTCAATTGAGTATCTGCTTACTAAAAAATACAGTAGGACTTGAGAGCTGTAAAAAGCCATGTCAAGATCTGAATAGCTCTAACTACTGCATTTCCATAAACTTTTAATGCAAATATATACCAAAGTCTTGCACATCATGCTAATGCCTCCGTATTAATGGCCTGCCTCTTGTGTAGGAGTGCATCTCCTTCTGGGTGTCAGGACAGAAGACACGAAAGATGCATCAGATGACTTCACTTAACAGCGTACCATTCAGCAGTGATAAAGTGATAACAATGTGAAAGGATTTTAAGGCAGTACTTGCATTTGATAGCTATTTCACCGCCAACACTACATTGCCATTTGCCACAGGCACTAAAGCTCACACGCTAATTCGAGTGGCCTCCACCCTCGGTCACTTCAGACCAACAAAAAGCAGTTGTCAAGACCACCTTTCTCTCCCTGGTCCTCAACAGCCCTTGACAATATTTCCACATCTGTTCACTTTTCTCCTTCTTGCCCACCAGGTATAGAGAAGTCATGGGCAGCGTCCTTCCTCGGTGGCACTCCCTGTGCTCAGCCCTCACTAGCACTTGCCACCTCTCCACATGTCATTGTCTACCTTTCCAAGAAAAATGAGTCAAGCCAACACAGAAGAATTCTCATCTTCTCCTCCTGCTCTCAATGCTTGTGGCAGTCTCAGCATCTGGAACTGCACTCCATCTCACCTAGAAACCTTCTCTGAGTGTGCACGAGCCCAGATTTAGCCCCAATTTCTAACTGTCATCAAGGCGGGCATCGCTGCATTGTCAAGTGAACTTTCCTATGCATTTAAGGCATTCCCTTTTTCTAGGGCAACTTACACAGATTGCCATTTTATAAATTGTAAAAAGTCCACAAAAAGGTCAAGCAAAAGCCCTGAAGCATATTACGTTACCCTTTCATCTTGGGAGCCCAGCTCTAGCCTGGGGAACAGCTTTGCACACATGAGTGAGTGGGGAGAGTGCATAGACAGTATCCTCTTTACTGCTGTCTGGCATAGGTGAAACAGTAGCTCTGGCCTGGAAGCAGCAGGACTTGTCTTAAACTTCCTCAAAATTTGCTGTTTCATTACGCAATGGACATGCTGCCTTGCTTCAGAGAAACTGCCACATGGAACCTCAACAGAAGTGGCAGTGCTTACTCAGCTCCTAACAAATACTTTCTAGCCCTTGTATCAAAGCATATTTATTTTGCCATCCTACACTGAAAACAAAATGTGGTATTTTGCTCTATGACCAAATGCCTTTCACAAACTTACTAAGAAAAGCAAAAGTTGCCCTCTGGCTTCCTGCTCAAAGCGTGACAAGACGGACATCAACATGTGCTGGCAGGAAAACCCATACCTATTTTTGCAGGTAACAGAATCTCAGCACTAGTGCAATTTCAACTTGCACTTTCTAGAGCCCAGAGAAATCAAGAGTTCAACCTTCAACTATTGCAGTATTACTAAATGCCAGAATAATAAACACAGTGCAATCATTTTCATATTTGTTGTGGTGCCACATTATGCTCAATCATCGACCAATATAACTTAGAGTCGACCTGCTAATCTTTTACTTCTATTGCTAATTAATGAGATCATCAGACATCTCTAGAAGCACAAATCAATCTTTTAATGAATTTTGTGAGCTATATTATTTTTTGTAAATCAATCCATCAACTTCTATTCTCACCTTGGTATTTTTCTGGCTGTTCAACAGAATACCTCTGGGCGAAGATACCCGGATGCTGCTGACTTCATCTGAACACAGCTGCACGTGTGTGCTCTGCCTTGACAGCATGAATCAACGGATAGAGGACATCAGAAGGGTTATTGCTGTGTAGTTCAGCACACTATTTACTGCTATTAGATCCATAAATGCAATCGGAAGCACCATCATTACAGTAGGAGTACTAGCCATGATCACTCTGAAGAGGCAGAGCTCTACAGTCCCTACTAAAACTCAGAGGAGCAGCCCCATGACCATTTCTGCAGCAGCCAGCAGAGCGGTAGTTGCTGAACTCTCAGATTTCCATTATGAACTCATTTTCAATTGCTCACAACTCAAAACAACAGAGCAGGTTGAAAATTTCCAGGCTTGGTTTTCTTCTGAAAGTGTTTTCCATTTTGGTTAGAGCAAAACCAGTTTTGCCTTGTTTGAATGGCAACAAGACTAAAATAAAACTTCACATTCCTTCATCTAGAAAACCCAATTTTTGTAACAGACCTAGTAATAGAAGTAGTTGGGAGTTATAGAAAAACAACAAAAAACTTCACTGAGCAGTTACCAGTGAGCTATCAGGACCTGATGAGAAGTCTTTGTCTGAGGGCCTGGTAATAGCAATGTTTATCTGGACTGGAGGTAAGGCCCAATGATCCATTACAGCAAGTGTCTCATTTGCCGTCAGGCTTGAGAGGGGATGTTCTGTCTTCCTGCAGTACACTCCAGTGAAGACACTTCGCACAGGCAAGGTAACCCCTGAAGCACAGTGTGTGTTAATCATGCTTAGATGAAAAAGCAATTTTTTCCTATGCCAGAACCGAGAAAATCATCTTTAGCAACATTAATCCCAACTTTAGGATGTCAGTTTTCA